AATACATCACAATCATAATTTGTATGAGCATTTAACCATAAACGATTCGCTAATTTCTCATCAGCAATTACAAATCGTTTATGAAATACAGACTTAACTAAAAATTATACATAAAATATGTTGTAAAATCAACTACATAATTTTTATCTACCATCTGTTAAGTGTTCAGACATAATCTTATTTTTTTACATCTAAATAGAATAATAAAATTTGTTTTTTTTTTGTTTCTGTTTGTTCGCTTGTTTAACACAGATCTTTACGAAGACAATAGAGATACAAAAACAAAATGTTGCACTTCTGATACCGGTTGAAAAGAGAAAGAGTGAGTGAGAAAAAAAAAACAAAATGAATAAATCATCTGAATACAAAGTTTCATATGAGGACGGCAAAAAAAAGAAGAAAAAACAAAGTATGTCTTTTTTTGCACAATAATTTTGTTTTAGATCCTTATGTAGGATTTTGTTTAACAGAACCAATAAAATCATAAATAAGTTGTTGTAATTCATTTGCTTTGAGTTCACTTATACGAATTACATCTTCATGAACAGGTTCATATGTTGTATCATAATCCCATAAACATTTATTAGTTATTAATGCAAGGCCAAGTGTACGAAAACCACAGTGAGCAGCTAATGTTACTTCATGAACTGTTGACATACCTAAAAGAAAAATATTAATTTAAGACGTAAAAAAGACAAGTTAGAAGTTTTCTTTTACCAACAGCATCACCACCAAGTAATCGAAGCATGTTAATTTCGGCTATAGTTTCATAACATGGACCACCTGAAATTAAAATGAATAGAATAAATAAAATACAAATAAAAATTCTTATTTACCTAATCCACAATAGACTCCTTCACGTAATTCGACACTATGTTTTGACGCTATTTGCTTCATTTTTGATAAATATTGACGATCATATGCATGACCAACAGGTGGAAAACGTGGTCCTTTAAAATAAAGATTATAAAACTTAATATGTTCAATATTGTGATCTTACCAAATCTAAAATAAATAGAAAATGAATTAGTTCAAAACAATAAAATCTTTCTGTTTCCTATTACCGTTCATCATTATGTCCAATAAGTGGATTATTACCAGCGAGATTAGGAAAATTTAAATGATCTTTAATTAACATAATATCGCCAACACTATATCCTTTATTAACACCACCAGCAGCACTAAATATAAATATTCATTCAAGATAAAAAATATTAGAAAAAAATTCCAAAACATACCATGTTACAATAAGTGTATGTGCACCGAGCATACGCATCACTCGTACTGGAAAAGCACACTAGAAGCGAAAAAAGAAAACAAATTTATACATTATTTCATATTAATCACTAGCAAAATTTTCTCAGCAGCAATAAAAAATTCTTTTCAGTACAAATTATCAATGAAGAGAATAATTACGATAAATCTATTTTTAGATTTAATTATTACCGTAATATGAATTTATCTGTAAAAATAGCTTCTATGATAAAAGATCTCTAATTAACAATAAATGAATAAATGCACTTAAAATAATAACAAAATATATATACCGTTGCTGTAGTATATCCTTCATAAGGATGAAATCGACCTTGCATACAGACAACATAAAGTCCATTTAATACACCAAATACAAGATTACTTCGATGACCAACAACTAGATTATTATAGAAGGAGTATTTGAAATATTATTATATAAATAGCAATTATATTCAACCTGTTGATCGTGGAAAATGTGGAATATCAACATAAGGTATAACTATTTTATCGGTAATTAATTCAGCTAAACCGCCGAGACCTGAACCACATATAATAGCTATTTCTGGTTTAGTTGGTACTATATTTTGTATAAAACTAACGATGTCTTGAACACGTTCATACGTATAGAACCTAAATTAATATAAAATACATTTTAGTAAATAGAAAATTTTCATTTTTATTTTAACATACCGATTAGTAATTGCATTTGGATGTTCACCAACAGATGCTGATGGTCCACTTTCAGCAATAGGTGTTGATTCTATCGGTGATCTTGTATGATGCGACATTAATAAATCTGAATTAGAAAAATAGAGCAAGCAAAAAGCAAGAAGTAAGCTTTTGAGCAAAAAGATCAAAAGTATGCGCTCGCACACCACCACACACACACACACAAGCGTTGCCCCTCGAGAATCATATAATAAAAAAGAAGCAGTAGATAATAATGATCAAGACAGAACGAAATGCTACATGTTGGTATTATAACGATAATGCTTTTTCTTTATCTCTCATAACTGGCATTCTCTAATTTCGAAATTTATGCAAGTGCAAAGACCAACTATTCTTCATATTATATACGTGTAGTCTTTTTATCTGGTTAGGATGTTAAAAAAAATATGCGTAAAGACAAAGAATAAAACAGAAAAAAAAATGAAAATTATTTATTAATTATATTTATTTAAAAAAAAATATTACTATAAGCAAAACAATAAAGTTCATTTATATTCTGTAAAAATAAATGAATTCTATGTAGTAATACTAAGATGCTTTTCTATAGCATCAATTAAATCTTGTTTTTTTGTTCCAGTTGCTTTTAAATTCTTTTCTTTACAATAATCTTTTAATATCGGTACGGTTAATTTATTTAACTAAAATAGAAATATAAAAGTAAGAAGAAATAAAACTTTCTCATTTTTTCTTTCTTTCATACTGAATTATTGCGTGCAGCAGCTTCAACATTAACATCATCATCCGGTTTTCTTTTTTTTTCACTGGTTGATGTGGCAGCTGTTTCAGCCTAAAGATCAATATATTTAGTTACTATTTATAAAAATCATTAATATAATTATTATTGCATAACTTTTCGTGCTTAGAAAAAAATGTATTTCATCAAAACTAATCATACTCTCAAAGATAAGAAAGCATCACGCATTTCTGACGTGATACATTGTAAACCAAAGATTAAATACTATTCGTAGAGTCAACATACATGTACAGATTACAATATACGTTTTTTGTACTATTACGAATTTCGTTATTATCATGCAAGAAAAAAACTAACCTTTCGTTTAGTTGCTGCTCGTTTTGTCACACCCATAACATAATCCGGTGGGAAAAACATTTGTTTAATTTCTGTAGTATATTTATCAACTTTTTTATTTTGATTTTCTACATTTGGAATAGTTAAATCGTCGAATTCTTCTGGTTTATCTTTATTTAATGCTGTTGCTTCAATATTTCTCCATAATGTTTGTAGAGCAGGATTTTCGAATCTATCAGGACGATATTTAAATTTTAGACCACGAATTATATTTTTAAATACATCAACTTTATCATCGGTTATACGTGGTATATCATTCTTTGGTAAAGTTCGTATATCATCAGCATATGGTAAATAATGTACATGAAAACCATTCGATGCTATACGATCACTCGGATCTTTTTTATTTATTTCTTCAGCTTGTGGAATAAGTGCAACTAGAAGAAAATTAAATTATTAAAATAAAACATGAAATAATTTAATATTTTATTTTACCAAGACGTGGTGGTGTATTTCGTCTTGCAGTAAATTGACATAGAATAAACATTTGTTTTTCTAAACATTTTTTTTAATAGTGCATTAAATAAACATGAACTTCCTTCCACATATT